TACTGGCAAATCTTCTGGCATTCTATCTGGCATATCTTCTGGCATTCTACCTGGCATATCTTCTGGCATATGTTCTGGCATATCTTCTGGCATTCTATCTGTCAATCTATCTGGCATATCATATCTTCTGGCATATCTTCTGACATCCTATCTGGCCTTCTATCTCTGGCATTCTATCTGGCAAACATTCTGGCACTTTATCTGGCATACCTTCTGGCACTTTATCTGGCATACCCTCTGGCATTCTATCCGACATTCTATCTGGCATACCTTCTGGCATTCTATCTGGCATATCTTCTGGCATTTTATCTGGCATATCTTCTGGCATTCTATCTGGCAAATCTTCTGGCATTCTACCTGGCATATCTTCTGGCATATGTTCTGGCAAATCTTCTGGCACTCTATCTGGCATATCTTCTGGCATATCTTCTGACATTCTATCTGGCATTCTATCTGGCAAATCTTCTGGCGTTCTATCTGGCAAACATTCTGGCACTTTATCTGGCATACCTTCTGGCATTCTATCTGACATTCTATCTGGCATACCTTCTGGCATTCTATCTGGTCTATCTTCTGGCATTCTATCTGGCAAACATTCTGGCACTTTATCTGGCATATCTTCTGGCATATCTTCTGACATTCTATCTGGCGTTCTATCTGGCATATCTTCTGGCATTCTACCTGGCCGTTGAGGTCCAGCGGTGCTCACTGAGCTCGGAGGGTCCCAGGTTGATGTCCAGCGGTGCTCACTGAGCTCGGAAGGTCCCAGGTTGAGGTCCAGCGGTGCCCAGTGCGCTCAGACCCTTGCAGTTGAGGTCCAGCAGTGGCCACTGCGTGCGGAAGTTGGCGAAGAGCTTGGCGATGAGTTGGCAAGGCGGAAGTGAACATGGAAGTGGAGGCAGAGGTCGTGGAGGAGAACGAGGAGGAGGAGAAGAAGGAGGAGGAGGAGAAGAACAACTCTGATAAAATCTAAATGGCAGGTGGGGAAAAACGAAAAAAAAACACCTCGAAAAAATTGAGCCAGCTACGTCACATTGAGCTGGCGAACGAATGTGAAGGCTCAAAAACGAATACATAATATGTATTGGCCGGGATGATGACGGCATACCGAGCTGGCTCAAGGGCATGTAGCTGGCTCATTGTGTTTTTCGTTGTTTTTTTCGCTCAAAAAAATTGAGCCAGCTACGAGGCGCTGAGCCAGCAACGAGGCATTGAGCCAGCTACGTGGCACTGAGCCAGCAACGAGGGAATGGTGAATCTGTACTGTACGAGACCGATGGATTTTCCGATGCAGCCTTTGCAGCTCCAACAAATCAAATTATTGATTAATTCTGGCACCATATGAGATAAAATTGAAGACTGGCAGTCTATACATATATATATATATGTATATATACATATATAACCCCCAACCGTATAATTATGGTCAATCGGAAGCAACACCAGTTTTCTTGAGGGAGACGCGTACCCTTGAGCTGGAGGGAGATTGGGAAAAGTAACTTTCGAACACTACCACGTCCAATACATGTATATGACCTTTTCCCGCTGGTTGGCTGATTAACAGTGTGGTCACTGCCCCCATGTTTCATAACAAATATACTGTAGGTAAATTGTGAAAAATGGTAGCCCCAAAACCGACCCCTCTAATTTTAGCCTGGGATCACCAAACGACAAAGAAAAGGACGATAAGGACTTAAATTCCCAGTCACGCCATGATATCCCAATATATTATTCTAATTATATACATTCATCAATTATTTCCATATGCCAACTATTTTTTCAAAACCATTCCTAGTCTCCTTGAATTGCTTGAGTCGGGAACAATATTACCGGAAAACCCTACATTTGGAGATCTACCATCTGGTTATGACTAACAGTTCGCCATGGAAAATCCCCAAAACCAATGGAGGTATTAATGCCGGGAAAATCATCTATTTCTATGGGCCATCTATACCATGGTTATGTTTGTCATAACCAGAGGCTAGCCATGCAGCCAGATCAACCAGGTCCCTTCGGACCCGACATGGATGACCTGGCTGCTACGGCCATCGTGGAGAAAGCTGCTGGACATCTTCTGGTGGCCCTTGCAGCTGTGTTCATGGAGCGATCCGTGCGCGCAAGGAGTGAATCAATGGAGGGTTCCAAAGAAATAATCAATGGTCATGCAACAGGAACCGATTGAGGACGGAGGTACTGATTCCATATATAAGGCTTATGAAGGGCCTCTGTAAGGGAATATCCCCACAAAATATGGCCTTACATGGTACAGTACCTCCATTTTAGGATCCTGAAATTATTATTGAAACAAACCTGGAAATAAACAGCTGGAAAATGGGAGGCTATTCTATGCGTGCCAGGGTGATTACATATCATATCAGCTAGAACTTGAGAGTCTGAACCCATTTTTGAACATGTTTGATGTTTTTCAGCATGGGAGGATGAGGGTAGTGAAAGCAATTTGTTGATGAAAGCGGTGTTAAAACGATTGATCATGGGTTCTTTGTTTTCCGGAGGGGGTAGGCTGGTGAACCAAGCGTGCTGAGTGTTTCCAGGGATTGCATTAGAAACCGCCCGAGGGGCATATCAATGCGTGTTTATGACTTAGATGTTACAAGGAGGTGCCTACTGCATCCTACTGCCCCAATCCTTGGCTAAGGTGGTTTGGTTCAGTATGCAAACGAATGGGTTTATGGTAGATGGCTGCGAGTGAAAATGCACAGAACCCACAGGCCGATCCACCGCAGGTCGATCCATACCCGAACCCGAATTTCGACGCAACCTTACACATCAGCGAACATGACTAGGGGGCACCACCTTTTATAGCTCCTGACCGTGTATCGCGGAAAATGGGCCGTGGATCCAACACCAAGAGGGGAGAAGCAACAACAGAATACAACAGATAAGAGAAAATCCTGTTGAGCCAAAGAAAAGCTCCTGAAAGCAGGGCTACAATATGCTTAGAATAAGATCTTTAAAATTGCCAAGCAGCTCTCAGGATGGTCATGGATGATCCTAAAAGGATGTGAGTGGGTCACGGCCACTCACCACCGTTGACCAAACCTCTTTTTTCACTTCAGCCACAGGAATGTCCACCGAAGAACCTGTGCTGATTGTCAATTTCCCATGATTTTCCCATTGTTACTATAGGGGTTTTGCTGTTTGGTTGGTGGTTTCAAACAGTTTTTATTGTCCATTTCATAATTTTTTCAAGATGGTTAAAACCACCAACCAGTTTTGGGTTTTGTTACTCTAGGAAACCATGGCTTTTTACCATGAAATATTGGGGTTTTCCTGTAAAAGTTCCCAACAAAACCAATCCATTGAGATTTTGGCTGACGGGCCCCACGGCCTCCAGGATTCTGGCTGACTTGGCGTCCGAAGATTCCAGTCGTTTGTTGTCCAGCTTCCGTTGTGTACTCAAAGGAGACCGAAGTGGGAACCCGAGTGGTGGGACCGAGGACCAAAAAATACCACCAAAATCAAAGGTGGCGCGGAAATCCCCGAACTAGCCATGGTTTCAATGTGGTTTTTGGCGGTTCTATTGGAATCTATTGGAAATGATCATATAAATGGCAGATGTGCCGGCTTTGATTACGGGAGGGTAACCCATGTTCTTAATCCCGAGGCTTGGAGAAAAAACAGGCGAGAGAGGAATGCGACTGGCACAGGTGAGGTTCCTGGATCAGGTCCTTAACCCATCCCCCTTGTTGCAAGCCCCCGTCCCCGACATGGTCTAAACGCTAAACTATAGATTTGAACGTTCAAAACTTTTTATTGACGAGCCCCTTCACAATCAAGGCTATTGGGATTCAGGATAGTTCAGTTGCATAATCTATGTACCAAAGTCTTGGGTAATCAGCTGCCCTTCTATCACAGGAGTTTGCGAAGGAGAAGTCGTTTTGGACAGCACTTGCAAGTTCGTTGGCAGGAGTTGGCGAACCGACCCCCCTCTAGAATGACCCTGGAGCATCATGGAACATCATAGAACTCTGGAAAGATGGAGGATGATGAGTTTTCGTGAGATGACCCCCGCACGAGATCATTTGGAGTATATAAGTCTCAGCTTGCGGACAATGTTTCAAGCGGTAGATGAGGAATCCATTCAAATTCCGTATGTCTTCCACTGTGCTTGTTGTTAAGGCTTATTTTCCACATTTATCTTGCTCAAACTATGCTAAACATGTCATATCATGTTGTGTCCTTTGTCTTAAATGGAGCATTTTGTTCACCGCAGCCATAGCTCCATGTTTGCTCCATGTTTCAGGACGGAGTGCTTGGAGCAGTTGTTAGGCCTGGCACCGGAAGAACTCACCTCAAAGACGTTCGTCGATTTGTTGCAGGATGAGGACGGGAGCGCCACAGTAACCATGCTGACCATGCAGGGATGGAAGCAGCAAGCAGCATGGCAAGATGAGGAGGTGGCTCATTTCACATGGGGTCAGCTATGAATGAACAATATTTAGGATGCGTTAGGCACATTTAGGCACGACGTCATTTAGGAGTTTGCTCAATCTCAGGCACCAGGGCATCACTACAGCACCAAAGCTCCAAAGCGTTTTCGTGGAATCCCCCAGCGCCCAGTGTTGCCTTCATTTTGAATGCCATGTATTTTGCAGACTAAGTTCCAACCAAACTCTTCAACTTGGAGTCACCTCGTTGCCAGCAGGACAGCCATCAAAAGTTCTCTCAGTTCATAGCAGCGAGTGAGGAAACTGCCTCAATCCCTGCAGGGCTGCGGGTGTCGTTTCAAACAGCCCATGGTTCCTTGATTCCATTGATGCTGAACGTTGTGTCTATTTATTTTGAAGGACATGAGTCTCCCAAAAAGACAGATAGGTAGGTCACTAAGTCACCATATATAATGACATGAGCTTTCGGGGATCATCAGGGCTCACTCTCTTTCCGGGACAAGTTGTGGACATTCTTGAAGTCCAGCTGCATTTGGCGAAGCACGGGTGCCACATTTCGTGCCAGGTAGCCCGTGCTCAGTAGATCTTTTCCATGTCCTGGTGCCCAATCTCTTCCAAGAAGATGGTCAGGCCGAACCTGTGCAGCAGTGCAGCAGTGTTGTGTTTGTTGTCATTGATGACGAGATTGGTGATGGTTATTATTACATATAACTGTTATTGTTATTGTGATTTTTTGTTATTGATTATTGTTACAGTATTGTTTTTTTGTTATTTTTGTCTTTTACACACTCACACATATATATATATATATATAATACATACTGTGCTTAATTATTATGCTGATGATGCACACAGAATTCCGTGCATGAAGGACTTCTATCCCGCAACACATGGGACGGGAGAATGGGATGCACTTTCCAGGCCTTTGGGCTGTAGCCGTTTGAAGTCGTATTCCTTCCCATCCCACAAATTTCCGCGACCCTTGAGTATATGAATCAAAACCGGCACTTGAACATTTCGCAATTGCATCCTACGTATTCCAGTCGTGATGGATTTACACTTCGTGGGTGCACAGCTTCGGAGGCGCAGCATCTTATTGTTTTGAAAGAAGATGCCGAAAGCAGGATCCGACGAGCAGAACCCGATGGGTCCCGTGGCACGAACGCGGTCATCAGCCTGGGAATTTTGTGGTTTCATCAACGGTAATTTCATATAGTATAGTATAGTATAGTAAATATATATATATATATATGATAGTTACAAAAGAAATCATGGCTCTTGTGGTAGGTGCTCCGATTTGATCAACCTTAACCTCAGCTTTGCATTGCTAGATATGTGTTTATCGATGTAAGAGAGTACAAGAATCATGATTTATTACGGTAACATATATATATATATATATATTATGTTCACTGATTCATGACCGACCCCTACACTGGTTCATCAGTTAGTCGGAATTCCCAGCACCCAGCGGTGCAGCGACAGGGAAGCCTGCGACATCATCCGGGATTGGCACGCTCGAAGGTTGGCCTCTGAAGGTCCTTCCTCCGAAGGCGGGGCATTTTGACACAACGGCCAGGTTTCGACGATACGAGACGTGTGCGGTTCACTTGCAACAATTAAGGAGGGTAAACAAAACGGTCTGCTTCAGGATGTTGCTGGTTTACTGGGCCGTCACTTGACGGAAAAAACTAGAGTTTCCAACTGTGCTGTTGAAAAAGTTTTTCTGTTTCCTTGTGGCGGAAAATGTAGGCTTGCAAGAGGATTCCCGTTGTGCAACATTGATCCCGAAACTTATTTTCAGATTTTACGGACGGACAAACAAAAGTACCCGATTGCGGATCGTCGCGACTTTCAAAACCACCATTGGGGTTGGTAACCCAGCAATTTTGATGGTTAACCCTTTGGTAAACTAACATAGCTATTGATTTACCTATTAAAAATGGTGGATCTTTCATGATCTTTCCATCGTTTTTTGGGACTGTTTACCATTTCGGGCAACCAATGTGAAAACCGCTGCCAGGTGACACTTTGGACGTTTACGAGGAACTTCAATGTATGACTTTGCTGGTGAACCCTGAGGACTTTGGCCGCTCGGACCGTAGAGCGCTGAACCCGAACGTTTTCCCATGACGATGTATGAAACACGTGACATGGTGCGAGACGGTGGTGAATCCAGAGGAAGTATATAAGTATGATATAAGATGATATAAGTATATGTGAAGTATGATATGTGATGTTTATAGAGGAAGTCGTAGAGGAAGTAGAAGATATGGAATGAACCTGGTCAAAGTTTGAAAACAAGTTGGTTGGATAGACGCAGCCATGGCTGACCGCCAAAGGGGCACCTTTACGACCATTTGTATTTGTTTGTTGCCGTTGCCTTGCCACATTCGCTCACACGCATGTGTGTATTTACCTATATATATATATATATATATATATATATTTACCATTATTTACCCATCATATACCATATAATACGCGACGAAAACATATGAACATGTACAGGCAATCGCCATGCTTTAACTCCCTTTCCCACCTATGCTATGTCGGAAAACCTTTGATAACTTGCTGGCCGTGGGAATGTTCAAGCCCGTCCATCCATCCATCCATCCATCCATATTTATTTAAACGAGGGACGTATACATATATATATATATACATATTATATACACATACACATTTATTTACATGTAGCACATTGCATTCATATAGGTATACATATACATATGTTGCAATTTGCCTTGTTATGTGCACACATTGGTATATATATATATATTTATTGTTCCGTTTGGTTTTCGATTTCTTTACCAGCCAGTTACTATACCATCTATACCATACTCCATCATTATACCCTATTGTTGGTTCGCTTAATGTTTATTCCATTGCAATTGCTAGTGAAATCATACTAAATCATATAGCCTCTTGGAGTTGGCAGGCACAAATCCAATTATATCCCCATTTAAAACCCCCATGCCAAAATTGCCTTTGATGGTTAAAGTCCTAGGCCGGTTTCCTGGTTAAATCCCACTGGTCCGTTGCATCCCTCAGCTATAGATTGTTTCATAACCATTAAAGCACCATTAGACTTTCATTAGGCCCATTAATAATTAATCAAATCACCATTCTATCATCACATTTTCATCAGCTTTGGATTTTCTTAAGACAAATTAACTGTTGTATCACCATTAAATAACCTTTTTTGTTCATTGCCAGCTATGTTTCCGGATATTTTCCGACCTCAGGTGACATCGAGGAGGCGCATTTGAAATTCCAGCGCCAAAGCTCGGAACCACAGATGCGGCTGGGAATGCCCACGCTGAGGCGTCACTTGGCGACATGGGCGCGTGGGACCGTGGTTTCCTCGTTTGTGCGTTTTTTTGTGCAACGCGGTTACCGTTGGCGCGGTTACTTTACCGTTGAGGAAACTAACGTGGCGAACGGAAAAATCATCATTTATATATAAATCTTGATAATAGGTAAACCAAGGAAGTAATGGGTCATTTTCAACATGAATGTTAAATTACCAGAGGGTCATCAGGAAAAAAAATGGTGATTCAACCATCAAAAAAAAGGGATAAACCATATATATATATACACATATATTGGTTGATTGGTCAAGTGTTGGTTTTTTAACCGTAACCAGCAAGAATATTTACTTACCAACCAGTACAAGTGGATGGGATTGGAATATTTTTCATGGCTGAGTTGTTTTCAGGGTTTAGGAATGTTTACAAAGGATGTGTAGTAGTTTTTTGGGGGACCGCAGGGTTTGGGGTTTCGTCTTATACTTTGAAATTAATTAGTTATAACAAACCAACCATGCTGGCCCATGTTCTTTGTTTTACTCACAGGATTTGAACGAAGTTTTTGTTGCCCCATTTGCAACGGGTCCGGTGGAATGCTGGGGCTGCTAGCAGAACTTTGCCGATAAGACATGTTTTCATGGTTGTCAAGAGTTTTGGAAAGAGGCGGGCACCATTTTTATAGTGTCTATTGTTTGTTCTATTGTTTGTTCTATTTTTTGTTCCTTCCTTTGTCTCCCTTTATCTGTTTGTGCCTGTCATTTGCTGATGTTTGCTATGCATGAGTTAGCTGTTACAATCCTTAATGTTGATGATGTTTTGTCACTCGTGCCGGCCGTGCGATATTGTTTTTTTTTTCCAGTCTTTGCCGTGCAGAGTACAACCTTCACGTCCTTTTTTTCATATTATTCACATACTTGCCACATGTTATTTTGATTTATTTTATGTTCGGTCTCCATTCTTTCCCGGTGGTTTCTTGGTGTGTTTGTTTCTTATCAGAACGTGTTTGCATGGTGCCTTTTCTTATCGGACTGTTGTAGAGACCGTTCAACTCAGTATTTGAGACCCAACTTAACAATAAGTTCACAATTATTTTTCAAAGGAATCATTTCAAATGCAGTTGTTTGAGTCTGAAAAATCGTTCATCATATTTTTTTTATTTTGATAAGTTTTGTTTAAACAGATATCATGAAGGTTCATGAAATGCACAAGACTGATATAACTTCCGATGCCGCCCCACCAGTGGTCAGTCACTGAGATTTTTTCCAGTTCAGATCCATTCAGCCAGTTCCAAAGTCTCAACAGCACCGTTTTCTCAAGCGGATATTGCATCACCAATGTGTCTTCCATGCTAACCTAGATTAGTACTGTAATTGATAAAACCCAGTTTATTAACAGGGGGATGCCAATTTCAATAATCATTTATCACTCCAAAAAAGGGGAACCCAACAAGTAAAAGTCAGGGAACAGACGAATCCAAGGTTGACATTATGCCCTCTCAATTGTTTCGTGCGCTGAGGTGTTTTATTTTTTTTTCCTGCGGCTACCGGGTCTCCTGAACTGTCCGAAAAAAAATGTGTTCCCCTCCTCAAGGTTTTACAGTCTCCACCGATTGGAGCAATCTTCGGCAGAAACTGCAGTTTTACCTTCAAGCCGTTCGAGAGCAACAAGCACCAGAGAGCATGCTCCTAGGGCCCTTGCTCTTCAGATTGCCAGGGGAATCCAGGACGGGAGACGGTTGAACCCAGTAACCGCGATTATTCTTCAAGTGCTGAAATATCAAAAACCTTCAAAAACCGCCACCATTGCCAAAATACAAACAATTGTGATAATTATGATATTGTGCGTATATGTATATATAATTATATCATATCTATTATCTAATATTATATATATATATGTATAAATTTGCATACACAGAATAATCATCAGCAACAGCATTATGATGATTATCATCAATCATCACCATCATCATCAAACATTGTGTGGTTCAAACTCGGGTTTCTGTACCAAGAGAACTGTATGTTCCTGCGGGCCGAAATCTGTGTTTGTTGCTTAAAACGAGGGCCCAAAATCAGTGGTTGGAGTTGGGTTCTTCTCAAAATTTGGAACCCCAAATCCATCGGTTTATCACTCTAAAATCCCCCATTTAATTGCGATCCTTTTTTTGCGGTAACCCCATGGTGAGTCAAGCCTATTTCAACTATAAAAATTGCCAATTCTTGACGCACAGAAAATCTCCATGGCTGATAAACCATGATGGAATCACCATCCGCAGGAGCTTTTTGCAAGCGAGACATGTATCTCTTAGCCCGGCTATGGGGCATGGACCTCCTCGTTTTTGGCTGCTGATGAAGGACTTCAATCCCACCAGGGTACGGAATCTAAAACTGTGCCTCAGAGAAATTGATGTTTTCATGCGATCCCAGGACATCTTGAGACATCCTGAAACCAAAAAAGGCCCAGTATGGTTGATAAGTGCTGGCATTCAATCAAAACATGTTTTACAGCGGTGTTGTTCGAAGTCCAGGAGCAATACGGACCTGTGCCATGGGTCATCATGGGGCATCCCCGAGGTCATCGACAAACATTTCTGTATTCTGCTATATTCTGCTGATTGTTTTAGTCAATCTGCAAGGGCAAAGGAACAACATCTGAATTGCCATACCTTGTTGCATACCTTGTAATCTTTTCCCCCTAGCTCTAAATCACCTCCAAACGAAACCCGGGTTTGGTATTGGATCTGTTCAGGCAATATGTCGTCGCAATGCATCGTCGTAGTGTGTCGTCAGACAATGTGTCGTCAAACAATGTGTCGTCACAACGTGTCATCAGGGGGTTGCGGTCATCGCATTGCTGTGCCGCAATGCGTCGTCAGAGCCAGGGTCAAAGTTATACCCAAGCTGCGGCCATTTGACAGTTTTGTGTCCCAAGCATTGGGGACATTGAACATTACAAGAATATTACATATATTAGGCAATATTATATATATATACTCTCTCTCTCTCTATATATATATACATGTATCCCCGCTTCATGCTGATCAAACCATAATAAACCCCATGAAAAAAACCATAGCTCTCCGCTGGTCCAGCCACTATATTCCCATGAAATACTTAAGAGTCAAAATTCACCCGGCTATAGGGTTACAGTATACCGTGATGCTTATGTTAAGATAGGTAATTCCTGTAATAGGATACTGTAATACCGGGTCATCTTATACGGTTAATTATACTTATAATAACTGCATATAACATCATATAACCGCTATCAAAATGATGGTCAATCCCCTTGTATCTTATTGCTTAAGCCATGGTTAACTGCAGCATTTTGAACCTATCGTCACCCTGGGACCTGGGAGTCCGAGGCAAGCAGACATCCGGGATTGGAGCCGTGCAGATCACCCGCAGCTGATGGCCGCAGTTCAGCCCGGGGCAACTGACTTTGCTCTGTGAAGATCCAGTTTTTTTTGTTTTTTTAAATACATGTAACATCTCCCTTGGAATTTCCTCTAGGAAATGGTGGTCCAGGACCCCACGATTCTTTAGAGATTTGGGTTTTAGGTGGTTTTAGGGGGATCATGTAACTATCCCAAAAGTTTAGACCATAAACCGACCAAAAAATGACAAAGGTGAATGGCCAAAAAAATGACTAAACGCCGATTGTGGGATTTTCCAGTCTCAGGCCCCAAAAAATAACAATTAATATATATATATATATGTGTGTGTGTATATATTGTTTCACATCCTGGAAACCCTTTTGGGCCTCTATTTGGGACCTATATGGACGTACATATTGGGTCGAACATGTTGACCCAGAGAAAGGCCACAGTTGAACACGTTTTATGATGTTCTATGTGTTTAAAACGTGGCATCAGGATGCTTTGAATAGTTCTGGGAGTTTGTTTTCTTCCTTGCTTTGAGTTGTACTTAGTGTGTTAAGGAAGCAGGCACGCGGCTAGACATGCTTAGACATAGGAATCATCAAATTGAGCATGTCAGCTGCTCCAGAGCCAGTCGGCCGCTGCGGAAAAATGCTGCAGGGAGCTCACTTCTTGTTTGCTTTCTTTGTTTCTTTTTCTCTCTCTCTCTCTCTCTCCTCATCTACCGAGCGACTATATGTATCAATTAATACAAGATTCTAGATTATGTGATACACAATATCCTACGTGTTGTTATGCACATATACTTAGATTATATATTATTCTACATGATGCTGCTGTACAATCTTCTCACCCGCCTTGGCCCGCCCCAAAGTGGCCCTAACAGAATGCATTTCCCATTGAATTTGAATTCTCCGAAGGTTATGTGTTGTGTCTACCACATGTTCGTGCTGTACGACCTAAATGTTGTACTTAATGAAAAAAGTAGTTGGTGGTTGCGAAAGACCACATAGCATGAGGCGCACTTACCATCGTAATTCTTCTTTGGAAAAATGGAAGAAGAAAAGAAGCAGAGCAAGTTTCAACCAGAATTGTTACGCCATCGCCATGGCATGTTCTTTTGCGTGTTTTCACCATTTTAAGTGTTTGGACATTTGTTTCCAACGTGACATCCTTGGCGCATCTTGGCCGAAAAATGACCAGGCTCCAGCGGTAGAGCCGATGGAGTCCCGTGGCTTTTCGGAATCTGCGGGGAAACTCAGAATGTGAGGAATGTTGGGGACCGTTGGGATTTGTGATGTATACTATCTAATTTATATTATATTATATATATTTTTATATAATTATGTGTGTGTATTTATATGCATATATAAATACATGTGTGTAGTGTGTAAATATATATATGTGTGTGTTTATATATATATATGTATATCTATATATTTATTTTTAAATACATAGATGCATGTGTGTGCAATATGTGTTTGGGTGGTGTGTTTCTTTTGATTTTATAGTATGTCTTGGTATGTGTCAAAAAAGGTGATAGAAGGGTGTCCAGTGTCCTGGGTGACCCCCAAATCTACGGGGTCCGCCACTTTAGGGAAACATGTTTTCTTTTTTTTGGCGGGGTGCTATATATATATTTAAATACAAGATTATTTTAATATGTATTTATATGTTTGGTTTATATTATATATAAAATGTGTTTTTTATATATACATATATATATATTAGTTATATATATGTGTTACTATATATAAGATTGTGTGAATATATATATATTTGTATGTATATCATATTTATATATAGTATACTGTTTAAATATTATATTATATAAGTACTATATTATGTATATATTAGGTTATATATGCATTTTATTTTGTATTTATTATATTAAATTATATATTATATTTTATTATATTATATTATAATATGTTTTATATTATGTTAGGTTATATTATATTATGTTATATTATATGTTTAACATATTATATTATATGTTTTATACTATAGTATATTATTGTATTTTTTATATTATATTATATGTTGTTATATTATAGTCTATTTTTTTTGATTATATTATATTATATTATACTATATTATACTATATTCTTTGTTTATACTATTATCTTATAATATATTTTTTTACAAAATATATTTTAATATGTTATATTAAATATGTATATTTTTATGTTATATAATTTGTTCTTTTATTTTATTATATTTCAGTTTTTCTTACTATATTTATTATATTTTTTGTGTCATCATATTATATCATATATATATATATATATATTTATTTCTTTTGTAGTTACATGTATTTTTTTTTTTATAACTAACAAATCAAACACTGGGATTGAACACTTGGAATTTCAAAGTTAACCTAGGTATGTTGTATACAAATATATATATATATGTGTTTGTACATATGTATATATATATAATACATTCATTTATTATATACGCACTACATGCATATCAATATTATATCCACATGCTTCAGTGGGGCCAACCTTTCGGAAAGGCAATTGACCGAACGGGTTGACCATGGGTTGATGGGATTTCACGAAGCAAACATTGGAATCAATCTTCAAGATATGGATAGACACACTGGTGACTGGAACATTGGTGAGTTATAGTGTGTTGCTCTCTTATGTCAATAGATTGGTTTAGTCGGGAACATCTTAACCGGAAACCGTATAGATTTTCCCATTAAGTATGGGGTTTTCCTGTTTCAAGTTTCCCTTAAACCAATCCATTGATTATCGGAAGGTGGACACGCCAACAAACGGATTTTCTCTGCGTTCTCTTTTGAGTGCTGCTATTTAAGAACACGGCCATGGGATTTGAAGCCTGGAAAACCTGTTCTTGTATCGGATTTGTTGTGTTTGTGTTTATTTTTGTTGCTGCTGCTGGTGTTGCTAATGTTACTGTTAGTGTTGTTGTTGTTGTTGTCGTTGTTGTTGTCTTGCTAGAGAGCACCATGGATCTATGCTAGGGAAAATGTAGGGGATCTTTTTCATGAATACCTCAAATGATTAGAATAGAATACCTTAGATTCCAACATAACAAAAGTAAATTTAGGAACAACTGTTTTGACGTGGCCCTTCCAACTCTGTTAGACTAGTATATGCCAAGATCATCGCCTGCGCGTAATGTGGTATGGGGGCATGGGGGTACATGTTTTGGCTTGGCCACACTGCATAGCTTCTCTCACCTTGCCTGGATTTTGCTGGACCATGCTCAATTTGGGAATTTCCAGGATGATTGATTTTGTGAACTGAAAATTCACATCCGTTAATTCAACATGTGAGTTTTGCGGGGCCACAAATCAATCAAATCAGAATCCTCAGTATCCTGTTTGATGCTAATTTACACCCCCAGGATACTAAGCATCAAAATGGAACATTACCCCATTGGATACTCCCGTGCGCCTAATTACCCCCAGATTGACTCCATATGTTGTCTTTTCCCATTTTCAGGCCGACTAAGCCCTGCAAAGGATGCTTTGAAAGGGCATCCAACAAGTGCCTGATGAGATGGCTACTGTTCTGCCCACGATTTCCCATGGAAAAGGATGGTTAAAAAACACAGGCCTGGTTATCGTCCAATGCCACTGGTATTCTTTGAATTCTATGGCATTCGCGCTACGAAAAGCTAAAGATCCGCCATGAACTAAGCATTGAAAAGGCAAAATGTGGATAGATTTGGGGTTCCTTAAAATGTGGGATCCACAAAACCATGGGTTTCAACAGTCTAAACTGGTCTAATGACTTGGATGATTTGGGGGTACCTCGAATTTAGGAGAGCCCCTACTTGTGACATGTCCTTTGATGCTGGAAGGATGAAGAGCCCAACGGTTCCTCCGTGGCAGATGGTACGCCTGCAAAATCGCAAGGTCCTACCCGGCCCTCTGGTGATCAAACGTGGCTGGAGAATCCCCGAACTAAATGCTGGTTGGTGGTTTGGAACATGGCTTTTATGACTTTCCATATCTTGGGAATGTCATCATCATCCCAACTGACTTTCATATTTTTCAGAGGGGTAGGTATACCACCAACCAGAAATGAAATTGTTTTTTTGATGAAGCTATGGGAAAACTATCAATAACTATTTAGTGGATTTAGCCAGGTTGCCACTTTTGATGAACCCGGAAGGTACGCAAGGTACGATTGTCCATTGCACCTAGAATCGGCATGTTGATCCCAATCCTAATTACATATGATTTATGTACAGCAAAATGTAGTGTCAGCATCACCAAAATCGCCAATTGTGATTTTTGTGGGTTGAAATCACCAATCACAAATCTTCCAATATGGGTACGATCAGATACGAAAAACACGCCCGTAAACTCCCTGGAGAGAATGGCCCTGGCCTATCTCCGCAGTGGTATTTGGATGTTCACCACAAGTCTTGTAACGATTAGGAACTGCGAAGACAGTGACACTTACCCTCTGGTAATCTAACATAGCTATGGTATATATGGACCATTTATAGATAATTTGATTTAGCTGTTAAAAGGCATGTGACACTTACACATGGTAGTCCTTCATAAAGATGCAACTGAATCCTTCCCACAAAGGCAACTCTCAGCAAACACTGTTGATGTGTTCGAAGAAACAAAGGTTGGGATTATCAAATTTCAACTTGTATTTTTTAATCGCCAAACCAAAAAAAACGCCACCATCATTCTCATAATGGCTTCGCATAGGAATATACAAGCTATTGTTAAGCTGAAGGGCTTATATAT